TGCAATACAGTACTTCCTATGCATGATAACTGAGATATACACACAACTTAACACCTGCCACGCGCACCTCTTTGTAATGGCGAGGGCCCCCACACAACAGTAGATCTGTCCCGCATGTGTCTCGCTCCCAGGCAGTGACCCAAATCCCCCGTCAAAGTTCTTGCACCTCAGCACAAACCGGGCGGCCTTATCTATATCCGCGTACTCACACACCAGCCCTGTTTGTATGTCTATCTCCCCCTCGAAGAGTCCGTCCAGTGCATGTTTGGTCGAGTTATCATTGCTATTCCCCGTGCCAGTACTCGCCTTGTCCAGATCCAGCGCGAATATATTAATACCCGCACCGGTGGCTCTACTGTCTTGGGTATCGCTCCCACTTCGACTACACACACCACCGTGATCTGCACCTGTCCCCTTATCTGTAGGGACTGGACCGCTATCTACAGCATCTGTCCCCTTATCTGCGGTATCTGCACCTTTATCTATAGCACCTGGATCACTACTGTGCATGAACCCCAGCAAACTCAGCCCCGCCAGAGCACAGAACGAGAATCTGGTATCAACCTCACCCCACTCATCACCACGGAAACTCCCGTCTTCATTCTGCAGACCCATCAAGTACTGCCCCACCAGCCGACGATCCAACTGGTCTATTCTATTTATAATCAGGAGTATCTGAATGGCACTCAATGAGAACAGGATGTGTGCGTCATGCCCTTCGGCCGCACCAAAGCCACCGCTGGGGTGCTGACAGGCCATGACAAAGGCAAAAACCTCATCCACATCCACGCTTTCGTCGAGTTTATGACACATGTCTAGTGCGGTCAGGCTCCAGTATATCCCGTTCAAGCGCAGATGTTCGGACATATGGTACTCATAATCGTCTTGTGACTTGCCAAAGGCAGCTAAGTACTTGACGTGTGCGTCTGTGTGTAGGTCCATTTGATTCCGTTTCGTTGTCACATCTGTAGGCGGACTGTCGCCAGACGACACAGATGCACTCATTGCTGCACGGGTGGGAGTGTGTAAGCTGTTGATGGAGGCGTTTACGTATACAACAAAATAATTGATATACGATACTACTAAGGAATGCTCGCCTCTATACTGTGGTGTGTTGTATTTAAAAACTCTGCTATCATATGCATGTACATGCACATACACTAAGCTATACACCTGATGTGCGTAACAATATATGCCTGTTCACATATACCACGCCAACAATATACACCTTGGTGACTTGTGTGTATATGTGCTTGGCAGCTATCTGTCAGGATGTCAACCCTATATTCTAAATAAGCCAACCTCAATCGCTAAAACGCGCAAATATGCGTTTACGTTAAGCGTTCATATCGTGAAGGCCCTCCGGTTGTCGATATAGGTGCATATTTGAAGCCTTCAAGTGCAAAATGTTCCTACGTATCTTGTATAATGTCTAAACTAATTCTAAAATAGGTCAATTTGATTCCTAATCTTTTAACACGTACAAACGGAATGAATTAGCGTTTACGCTCAGTTGTTTTACATAAGAGTTTAAGACCCCTTTAAAAAACGGATTGAGACTAGAATAGGTCACTAAGGTGACTAGGCCCAACATGAAACCCTAACAAGTCCAAACACCTCAGACAAAATTTATGGTGCCGCCAAATATCTCAAATTGCCAAATTAAGATGCTACAGTTGTGACGTAATTCGGTTCAGATGTAAACAAACATTTTTTTGTTGTATTTAGAATATGTATATTTTATGTACGAATTTATATGTATTGTAAGATGTATACACAAGTTTAAACTCAATATAAGGCTGTATATGGTTGCATACCCCTGGCGCTGGTTCGAATCAATCTATAACATGGCTGCGTACGAACAATCGGCAAGGTGATATGATATATCACTTAATATAATACGCTCAGAAGTAGCGCTAGAGGGGAAGCTGGACACGTACTTCGCGAATACTACTAAATTGAGTGACGAATCATCAAGCAACAATGCAGAATAGTAAGTGGCGTGTGAGAACAGGACAGCTGTTTCCTTTAACATGTGTTATAGTTTAAAACACACACACACATACACACACACACACACACACACACACACACACACACACACA